TGGCTCAAGAGAGAGGAATGAAATGAGTACAGATGAAATGAAACAGAACGGAGGCAGGTGCCAGGCCATAGGAAACTTTAAGGTCAAGTTCTTTTTCTTTGTTCTACTCTAAAATCCATGTAAGGTTATAATGTTAAACAGGAAAGTGAAATAAAAAGATTTTAAAACAATTACTTTTGTCTGCTTTGTATAGATTTCCAGAAGGCCATCTACAAAATCAGGGAGATTAGTAAAGTGACCATAGTAGTAGCTAAGGCAAGAGATAAGGATAGCTCATCTGAGGTGGTAGAGATTGAGACGGAAAGAAGTAGGCATATTGAAAAACTATTCAGGAGATATAATCAATACAGCTTGATGAGGGATTGGATACAAAAGGTGATGAAGAAGATTTTGAAAGATACTAGCTGGCTTCTGATTGGTAAAACAGAAACAAGCATACACAGTAGAAACGGGCCATAAATTGGAGGAAGAAAATATTTCAAGTTTGATTTTCATGTGAAGTTCAAAGAGTCTTTTAGACACTCAACCAGATATGTTTAGGAAGTAATTGAACATACAGGTCTCGAAAGAAATTGAAACCTGCATATAATTTACAGAAAATGGAAGTTATGAATGTTCATACTATTAAGAGAGTGTAGCATGAGAAGAAAAGCTCTACGATACAGCCTATGTTGTTGTTCTTTGCTGTTAAGTCAGAGGTTGACTCAACAGCTGAGCCTCCACGGTGTACTCTGAGGCTATAAATCACACAAGAGGAAATTGGTCATCTTTTTTTCTATGGAGCAGCTGGAAGACTAGAACCATGTTCTTTTGGCTTGGCAGCTCAACTCCTTACCATTAGGCCACCAGAGCCCCCTAGAGTCTACAGGAAATCCAATTTTTCTAGGCCAGGTAGAGGAAGGGATGCTTGGCAAGGATACAGAATAGGAGGCAAATGAGGAGTGCACTGGGCCATAGTCACGGGAAGAAATCATTGACTATAAGTGCCATTGAAATGTCAAAGAAGATGAGAAAAGACAAATATCCTTTGGCCTCCATTACAGGGAATTCACGGCTGACTTTGTAAAATCTGTTTCTGGGGATTGACAAGCCTGGAATCCAAATTGAGGACAATTGAGGAACAAAATGAGGAAGCTAGACTAGATCCTTTCTAACGTTCCTCCCAGCTCTAAATGAATAAATAACTGTGATTTCATGTTGCTGGCCACAGTCCGCCCTGTACCACCTAGTTAACAGCATGACTCTAGCGTTAAAAAAAAGAAGAAAAAGTCCATCATAGTTGTTTTTTGTTTGTCAGATTGTGTTACGTGAAGTATCATCACAACCTCATCAACAAATTTGTGAATAATTATTTCCTTCTACTTTTACACACACACACACACACACACACACACACACACACACACTTTTGGAAAGAACTTAAAGCAAACAAAATCAAATCTTGTATAATTTTTCCATAGAGCAACAATTGAAGGAATAGACTTCCAGCAATTGATTTTATCTTGGGGTCAAGACTGCAGGGATTAAATAAAGTCTAGAGTTTCCATGTGGATGAATTTGGAAATGAATAGAATTGAAGCTGGAGTCCAGAGGTGTCTTGCATGACACTTGACTGTTTTTCTTTAAAAAGGAATCACTTTTTATGGGCTTTGAGAGTTAAAGAAAACACAGTCGGCAAACTGATTCAGTGTTTAAGCAGAATGCTTGGGCATGGATGCTGTTGTTGTTGTTGTTGTTGTTGTTATGTGCGGTCGAGTCGCCTACGACTCATAGCGACCCTATGTACAACAGCCCTAAACTCCACTCTGTCCTGTGCCAATCGCACCGTCTCTGACACTCCCATCCCGATTATCCCAGTCACTGAATCAATCCACCTCATAGAGGGCCTTCCTCTCCTGCGCTGTCCCTCCACCCTCCCAAGCATGATGTCCCTCTCCAAGGACTGGTCTCTCCTCACAATATGTCCAAAGTATGTTAGGCGGAGCCTCAGAATCCTTGCCTTCAAGGAGCCACCCGGTTTAACCCTTTCCAGGACAAATCTGTTTGTTTTCCTAGCAGTCCATGGTATTCTCAGTACTCTTCTCCAGCACCACAGCTCAAAGGCATCAATTCTCCTTCTATCCTCCTTGGTCATTGTCCAACTCTCTGATGCATAACAAGTGATTGCGAAGACCATAGCCTGTATCAGACGCACTTTAGTCTCCAGAGAGACACCATTGCTCTTCAGTACTTTGGAGAGGTCCCTAACAGCAGACTTTCCCATGGCAATGCGCATTTCCTGGCTGCTGGTGCCAACAGTGTTGACTATGGAGCCAAGCAAACTAAAGCTGTTGTACAATCTCAATCTCTTCACCATCCATCCTGATGCTGCCAATTGGTCCAGTGGTGAAAATCTTTGTCTTCTTGACATTGAGCCTCAATCCATATTGGAGGCTGCAGTCCTTGACACTCTGCAGCAGGCGTTTCAGCAAGCAGGGTTGTGTCATCCGCGTAATGCAGGTTGTTGATAAATCGTCCACGTAACCCTAACCCCACATTTCTCCTCATAGAGCCCAGCCTCCCGGATAATCTGTTCTGCATATAGGTTGAAAAGGTATGGAGATAGGATGCATCCCTGGCGTACGCCCTTCCCAATTTTGAACCATGCAGTGTTCCCTTGCTCTGTTCTGACAACTGCCTCCCGGTCCAAGTATAAGTTTCGCATTAGAATGATAAAGTGTTCTGGGATTCCCATTCTTCTCAGAGTCAGCCACAGTTTGTTATGATCTACACAGTCAAATGCCTTTGCATAGTCAATGAAACACAGATAGACATTCCTCTGGTATTCCCTGTTTTCAGCCAAGATCCATCTAACATCAGCTACAATATCTCTAGTACCACAACCCCTTCTAAACCCAGCCTGGACTTCTGGTAGTTCTCTGTTGATGTGCTGTTCATTTCATTAAAAAAAAAAAAAAAGGTTCCCACAGTGTCACTGTTTGGAATTTTTAACTTGTTTACTCTTTAACGTGAGTAAAGGTTTGCAAATGATATTGGGTTTTCATATAATCTTCCATAGACATCTTGTTTTATGACCTTAATTTCCGTTAATTAATGTAATTAATTGGTTTCAATGTTTAATCAACTCCTTATTATGTACTGCCTTTCCCTTCACCCAACTTGCCTATTTATGAATGAATGTTTGTTTTGGTGGGATGGAGAGCTAATAAAAAGCTATAGAGCCACTTGCTATGCATAGTGTTATCAGCAGATCAGCAGTGTCAACCTCTGTTGGAAATATGGACTCTCAGGCACCATTCCACGCCCACTGGATCAGCAACCACAGTTGAACAATCTCCTCCTCAGGCAATTTAGATTAACATTAAAAGGTGAAAAGAACCTGCAACTTTTCCTTTACACCCTTTTTTTAAAAAGCCTGCTACTTGGCTATAATATTTAGACCGATCTAAGGGGCAGGCTAGTCATTTATGGGCTAAAAATTAATTCTATTATTTTGCTTTTCAAATCCAGACATGCAGTGAAGTGACAAGATACTTTTCCCAGACAAAAAGAGGGTTACTCACCCAGCTTAGGATCAGACATGCATTTTTCTCATCTCCTTACTAATGGCTGCTAATTACTTGCTTTAACCTATCTAGCCTTCCTCTTTTGATTTACAATAATGAAATTTATAAATTTCATTTTAAATAGCAGGGTTACCCTATCTATACTTATTGCACCAGATTTAAAAAACTACACTATTTTCAGTGTCTTTAACCAATGCAAGAGATGAGCATCTAGCCTTTATTCCATGACCCTTGCTGGTGATAAACAGATAAAATGGGCAGATGAAACTCAATTCCCAGTCTCAACCTTGCTAGCTCCATTTCTAACATGGAGCCCTGTTCTAACCTCTAATCAGGGCAGAGAAAGATTGCTACTGCCCCCTGCTGGTCTATTGCCTTTCTTCCTCTACAAATCTGTGAGTTGAGGATGCTCAAGGTTTTTTAGCCACTGGAGAAAGCACAGAGGAAGGGGCTTTCCCTAGTATAAGATTTAGCGAGATCCTTTATGAACAAGGAGCTAAAATAAAACTCAAACGCTCAGTAGGTGACGAAGGCATATACAAAAACTTACAAAAAGAAAGACAGACAGACAGAAAGAAAGAAAAAGATCCACTCGATTTCAGGAGTCAATTTCAACTCAGCGACCCTACAGGGTTTGTAAGGCTGTCATCTTTAAGGAAACAGAATATCACGTCTTTGTCTGGCAGAGCGACCAGTGGGCTCACACTACAGACCTTTCAATTAGCAGCTGAATGCTTAAGCACAGAGCCACCATGCTTGAGCCTGGAAGGCATTAGGGAGCTTCTAAATTAAATTATTGAACCTTGTGAACTTTTATCTGCACACGAGCTTCTCTGAGCCAAAGAAATGTATCCTCTCCAGGACTAAACTCCTCTTTTGCCTCCAGCTTCCCTTTGCAAAGAGTATGCTATTCACTCCTCTATTACAATTTCTCAACACTCCGATCTTGTTATCTGTTCGAAATTCCCTTTCTTCATGCCTAGACCTTATTCCTCTTTCTTTTCTGGTTAAAACTCCCGTCCCACCCTTTCACTGACAGACTCCTATTTCTAAGAGCTCAGACCCTAGCCTCCATTCTTCCGCTCGCCCCTAGACCACCACTCCCTCCTGTCACTGCACCCCCTTAAGAATCGTGGCCAGTCACTCTTTGCCTCTGACTGAACAGCAGGCACGTCCCCTTTTGAATGCCTTTCCCCGACCCCCGCCCCAAACCGACTGAAAAGGAAACATGCGCACTTCAGAGCTAGGAGCTGTCCGAGTCCTGAAATTTATAGGCTGGGTAAGATCACGTCTCCCTCTCTTTCTGTAGCCCTCATTCCAGCACAGGCTCTCAGCAATTCTCCCCTATTCCCCCCACCCACTCCAGTGCGCTGAGTCTTTTCTTCTTCCTCATTTACAACTTCTTCCAAAAGGAGAACATTTTCTAGAGGAAAGGGCTTTGCCACATAGAAAGGGTTTAAAACAAAAGCCAGCATGGCATTGTCACCAGCCCCCTTTGCATGGTGATGCGATTAAGGTAGCAGCATTTTTATTATTCAGGAAAAGCAGCTGGGGGATTCACCAGTTCTGAGGCTTTGTCTTCCCTGGGCTAACTGATGGTCCTGAGCCTTGGTCTGACCTGACCATGATGCCCAGGAGTGGCACTTTTTGTTTTTTCTTGGTAAACTGTACAAACCCAAATCTCTTTTTGGTTTTCAAGGAAATTAGATTCCTGCCAGATTTTGAATCAGGACAATAAATAGGTACTTTGTCCTAGCTTCTTTCTGGAATCATTTCTGGGATATTTTCCACAAGCATCAGAGAAACAGGAATGAACCGGCAGCTAGTGAACATTTTGACAGCCTTGTTTGCATTTTTCTTAGAGACAAACCACTTCAGGTAGGTGAAACGACTTTGCATGCTGATATTTTTCACATGAAAACTGTTTCAAAGGGAACATTTCATGCAACTGTTATGATTTTTCTATGATTTCTCTTATGTTATTTTAATTTTAAAAGAAGAGTTAGATTTATTTTGTTTATTTGAAAAGCTTAATTATGATGGGAGGGGGTAAATTTTTACAAAAGCAAGTTTTTTATAGGGCATGATCTCTCACTTTATGCATTTCAACACACATTTTCACAGCCAATGGTGGTATAAAGCTAATAGGATGAGTTGCATGCTCTTTACATTTCTATAAAATGGTAACTGTTTTCCTTTAAATTTTTCTGGAAGTCATTTAAAGGGATTAGTGAATACAATATTTTTCATCAAGTGAAAGTTATTGTATAATTTTCCAGGAGTATGTCACCTATGTAAAAAATATAAAGGAACCTCAATTCTTTGTCAACTTGGGTCTCCTATAATATTTCACACTGGGAAGTGTACTATGAGGAATACAGTCCAGGAATTTTCCTGAAATAGAAAAAAAAATGAAATACCTTTTTACTATTATATCCTAATTTTTAGTATATTTCAAAACTAGTTGCCTACAAATGTTTCATTAACAATGACATCTTCATACATGTTGTGTTTAATTAAAATAAGTGAGAAATTATTATTTGCATGCTTCCACTTTTTATATAATTTTAAAGTTAATACTGCAACATGTAAGATGATTGCTAGTAAGTGAAGTAGCCATCCTAATGGCAGAGACTCTAAGTCAGAGATAGAAGATGCTCGTACAACAAAGTGCAGGACTCTCCATTTAATTTTCATCGAATTTTGTGGTGTTTTTTCACATAACCAAGAGAAATGGCACATATAGCAATAATGCTATGAGTAACGGGAAAACCCACTATGTTCCTTTCAGGGTCACACCTCCTACTATGATTAAGAAAAATTGTAGGCTGGGTTTTATTAGAATCACCATCACCATCATCATCATCATCATCATCTTCATCATCTTCCTACCACTACCATCATAATAAAATAATACTTGATTAATCAGATGAATCTACATATAGGAATGTGAGTATTTCTGGATGAATGTATCCATTTTTAATTCCTACTAAATGTTTATATGATCTTTTCAGTTATATATAATGTCACTTAATTGAAAACTTGACAAGAATGTGATCTTTTCTTCATGACAGAAATAGCAAGATGATTTCTTAAACTACTGAAAACATATACTGTAAAATGTATACTCTTGGGAGGGAATCAGGATTCAATCATGGACTATGTATCATGAATTTATTTCTCTATAAGCCAAACATGTTCTTTTTTGTAAGTCCATTGTTACTTTTAACAGGAAAATAAAAATGTGAGACATTTTCCAATCAACTTTTAGTGTTTCTGGACATACAAGTGACAAAATGATTTTGAAGTGTTTTTCATGAATACTTTATTTGGAGAGTCAATATTTTAGATGTATGTATATAAACCACAAATGATAAAATAATAGAAGCAAGAGATATGCTCATAGTTGACCTATTTTCAAAAGGAGTTAATTTTTCAAATGAAGATTAGTTTTAAGACAACATACTAAGGACTATTAATAGTTGATAACTAGAATAGAATCTAGCAGGTGAGAAAAGCAAAGCAATGGCATAATTAGTTTCACTGCTTGCTTTGCTCTGTCCATTTGATTGTCTTTTATAAAAAGTGGAGATTTCTATTTAGAGCTAAAGTTAGAACCCATTTTTTTTTAAAAGTCAAGGGACAATGAATTTAAGAAAAGCACATGCATGATAAAGATGATCACGTCATGTCTTTGTGATTCTAGAAAGAGACAGTTTTAACTATGCTGCCATACCATCTACAACCTAAAATTATGCACATTGTTTTAACTTAATCATTTTATGACTAAAGTCTGGAAACTAGGAGATATGACTATGATTTTATACCTTTCATTTTTCAAAGTTTACTTTAACAATGTACAAGTTGGGAATTTTTCTTTTTATTAATATAGCAAATGTATTTACCAAAACCTGATGCTAAATGTTAAGTGAGCATTAGTTTTCAGGGTGATGAAAAGGGAATTGTGGCTAAAAGAGTTGATAATATGTTTAGGGCCGCTTTCTGCAAAGACCATGACTCCAGGTCTGGAAAACAACCTTCGCAGACCCTATCCCCTTCAGATTTCTTGGACAAATTAATGGGGAGGACATCTGGATATGATGCAAGAATCAGGCCCAATTTTAAAGGTAGGTTCCACTTAAGTTTATATTAAACCTCTGGGGAATCTTTTAGATATGTGGATAGCTTACTCTGAATTCTTTTTTCAGGATTTTTACTGTAAGATGAAAATGGCAAGCACAGTATTGATTTTATTGAGGCATTCTTTTTTAATAGTCATTGGTTTAACTAGCTTAACATTCACTTGTTGCTTGATGAGTTGGAAAACTTTACTGGTTTGTGTTCTCTTCCATGAAAAAGACTGGTGTCAAAGATTACTACCACATTTCATATTTTACCTTAGGTGGAAGTGTGACTGGAAATTAATAGAGCAAACGATTGACTTGATTTACATGAACACAAACCAGGATACATTTAAAATCCAGTGGCTATAAGACTGGCTTTATTTACCTCCAAAGTAAAATTTAAATCTCAAGAGTATGCCACTTTACATACATACACAGACCTCTTTCCTTTTTAAACTTGCTTTCAAAAAGAGGGGATATATATATATATATATATATATATATATATACACACACACATACCTATATCTTTATTTGTCCAATTACAAGCAAACGCAAGAGTTTTGGGGTTTTGTTTGTTTAACATTATAATGAGAGGCTAACAGTCTGTAAAAAAAAGTTTATTTAATTTCTTTTTATGCTCAAAGGTTTTCATTAGAAAAATTTTAGAATCAATTATTAGTGCCTAAATGATGTTATGATGTTTTCAGTTTTACATATATGTATTAAATAATAATTGCCTTTGTATCTTCTAATTGAACTTAATATAATTTTGAAAGGTTTAGAATATTTTTGAAAAGGTGGAAGCTATACTGTAGATACTATGCAGCAAGCGCTGCATGTACTAGCTTGGTTTTGCTTATTATGAATGACTAATTTTCAATATTTCACGATTTTATTAAGAATATTTTTAATAAAATAATTAAAAATATTAAATTTAAAATAAAATGGCATATTTATTAAATTAAATGTTTATTTCATTTAATAATGATATAATTTAATATAGCATATTTTTTATACATTTAATATAATCTATAGCATTGCTTTCCTTGAGTTTTGATTCACTTTTATCATTGGTAAATAGGAGCATGATAACAGAAGTCTAAATTCATTTCTTCTTTAAATGCTACACCTCTGAATATACCCAGCTTTGGATACATTTCATAATGAAATAAGTGCGAATGTTACAAGGCAAATTGTGGTTGGGTTTGTTGTTGTTTTTTTTTTTTTTTTTTTTTTTTTTTAATTTAGAGCCTATTTCCAAAACAGACAACTGAACTAAGCCCAGAGTTCAACTTTCTTTGAAAGAATCTTCATTTTCATCCCATTTCATAAGTTTGTGCTCTCTCCTTTCAAAGTCAATGTTGTTACTCTTGTTATTGTTAGGTTCTGACTCATAACCAAGTAAACAACAGAAAAGGCAAACAGACAAAAAAACAGTCCACCATCCTCACAGCCATTGATTGCTAAGTTTGGGCCCATTATTCAGCCACTTTATTTATCCTCCTCCTTGAGGGTCTTCTTCTTTTTCACTGACCCTATACATTCCTAAGCATGATGTCCTTTTTCCAGGGATAAGCACCTACAGATAACATGTGCAAAGTACATGAGACACAGCCTCACTATTCTTGAGTCTAATGAAAGTCAATAGTGGAAACAAAACTCTGTAAGTAGCAAAAGAAGGAATTTTCACCTACACAGTTAATTCAGTTATTCAACAGCTTTTTTAGTCTGGGCTATACATTAAATATTGAAGAGGCTGGGTGATATGGAAAGTAAGAGATGAAGCAGATTTTAATGTTTTCATCAAAAATTTCAGGGTAGAGTAGATATTACATCAATACTCAAAATATTAGATACTCAAAATATTAAGTACCATGAGGAAGTCAAGATTAAACTACACAGGATTCCTTTCTCTTTATGTTACTCATGGAAAGGGGATATTTAAACCATGGCTTAAAGGCTGTGTCAAACTTAGATTTCCAAGCATGTTGTACAAAGCACTGTCCACATTTAAGAATCCTCACAACCTCTCCTGTTCTTAATGCACGGCACTCTTGTCAACGCTTGTTGCAGTCACTCCGTCAGCCCATCTTCTCACAAGTCTTCCTCTTTTTCACAGACCCTCCAGTTCCCCAAGCATGAGATCTCTTTCCAGGGACTGGCCTCTCCTGATAAAGTTTCCCCAACCGTGCTTCTAAGGAGCACTCTGGTAGCACTTATTCCAGGGCAGATTTGTTAGTTCTTTTGATTCTTTGCCAACATCATATTTAAAGGCATCAATTCTCTTTATATGGTCTTCCTTATACATTGTTCACCTTGCAAGTTTATGAGCACCAGTTTAACAGCAAGTATTAATCCTTTTTCTGGGATTTTCCAAGGGAATGAAAAGGGTAATAAAAGAAACATCCATGTTGTCATTGCTGTTTTCAGTGACCACTTAGAATAATCCATCATTTTCACACAGAGATTTTTTTCATGATTCTTCTAACAATGCAATGTTTTAGAAATGACATATCTCATGGTTCTAAATTATAACTGAATGAGAAGAATATTAGGCTTGACAACGCTTGGGCATATCTTTAAGATAAATCTGCTATTTAAAGACCTGAGTTTAGGATGTTTTAATGACTTATAAGAGGGAAATAGAGTGAATATCACTTAAGACTCCAATATTAACTTCACTGAGTTTTTGACTCCCTCTCTTTTTCCTCTCCATTTCAAGAAACATTGTTACTCTTTCTTAAAGTTTTATTACATAGACCATTTATATCCAATCAATTACTTACCATTCCAGTTCTCTTTACTCTGAGAAGGAGGGCTTTTCCTGGATGTAAATATTCATTAGTTTACACTAAAATTATTATCCCTCCTGGTGCTCCTGCGAAACTTAGTCTAATATGGTACTTTTGCATATTTATGTTATATCAACCTATGCTCCATCTGAGAAAGCAGGGAGGTGACTTATTACATATATATATAT